GTACATGTCTCCATGCCTATGCAAGCCAGCTTCATACTGCACATGGGTGTGCACACACGCACGTGATTGCCTGTAGAAGGACAGTGTTGGTGTTTTTATATGTGTGTTTCCATTCGTTTTTCAGCCTGTTTTCAATGATTTTGGGTCCGGGGTCTGTTGGTCTGTTGCAGTGCGGAGAGTATTACTATGTCTGTGTGTCTCTAGAGCTGCCTGCCTACAGTCGTACGTGGGCAAACACTCTGTCTGTCCGTGTCCATCTGTGCGTCCACGTGCCGGGCTCTGTGGGGTGTATTTGGGGGCTGTGTTTCTTCATGACCATCTGTGTGTGCGCTCGTCCTGTTGTCGGGGGTTCCTTTAAGAGGACCTTCCTGTACACATGATGTGTGTGTCACAGATTGAATTGCTTCCCCTCAAAAATCCACATGTTGAGTCCCCAGTATCTCAGAATGTGACCTTATTTGGAAATAGGGTCTTTGTGGATATAATGAATTAAATTGAGGTCATACTGGAAGTAGGGTGGGCCCTTCATCCAGTCTGACGAGTGTCCTTAAAAGAAAGAGAAATTTGGACACAGACACGCACACACGGAGGACAGCATGTGAAGGCTGGACTGTGCCACAAGCTAAGGAACTACCAGAAGCTCGGAGAGGCGCCTGGAACAGATCCTCCTCTGGCATCTCCAGACCCAGCGCAACCTTGCCAACCCCTTGATGTTGGACTCCTGGCCTCTAGAACAGAGATAGTAACTGTCTGTTGTTTAAGTCACCCAGTCCATGGTCATTTGTTACAGCAGTACAAATGAGCTCATACAGGGTGTGTGTGTGTGTGTGTGTGTATGTGTGTGTGTGTCTGTGTGTGTGTGCGCTTCCCCAGGCAGCCACATGCCACAGATGGCCAGCATCAGAGAACTTCCGAGTTAGGGCACTGGGGGGCTTCTACGTACTCCTTTAACTCTCCGTGCCAGAGGAGGGGGTAACAGCTGTGCCCTCGAACCCAACTCCCCAACCATCAGCAGGCCTCTCCAGAGCTCCCCTGAGGCCCCTCATCACCTCCACCACACCAGCAAGAAGCAGCCTCCTCCAGCAGGTGTCTTCAGGATGCCAGTCACAGCCTCTCCCTTCCTGGCCCCTCTGAGGGACGCATAAGAAGGCAGGTCTTGCACCGGGCCTGACCTGGGCTCAGTCTGACCGTTACTCCAGCCCCCCTCTCTCCCTCCCTTTCTAAGAAAACTAAACCCCTTGCAGTTCCCAGAACCCACAAAGTACACCCTCACTTCCACCTCTCCCTAAAAAAATGTCCCTGCATGTTTCTTAAATACTCCAGCTCATTGTTCAGGTACCACCCTAGATGTTTCCTCCTCCAAGAAGCCCTCCCTGACCATCTCCTCAACCCAAGACTGGGTTAGGTATGTCTCTTTTCCCACAACCCCTTGTTTCCCTCAACCTGAAACTCATCGCTGCAGGTCATGATCACCTAGTTGATTGTTAAGAATCCCCATCAGATCCTTTGCACTTTGCACAGAGGGGCCCAGGGAGATCTTAATTTGGAGCTGCACATCCAAACTCTGCACAAAGCTGGTGTACGAGTTGGCTCAGGCTGCCGTAACGAAGTGCCACACACAGGGCAGCTTACCCAACAGACACTTACTGTCTCACAGAGGCCAGATGTCCAAGATCAAATGTCGGTTGGGTTGGTTCTTTCTGAGGCTGCTCTCCTTGGCTCACAGATGATCTGTGAATGTCGGTGTCCCCATACTTCTAAGGACACCAGTCGCATTGGATTAGGGCCCACCCTAATGACCTTATCTTAACTTAATCACCACTATAAAGACTTTATCTCCAAATGCAGTCACATTCTGTGGTCCTGTTTAGGACCTCAACCCATGAATTTGGAGGCGGATGCAGGTCAACCCGTAACAGCTGGTGTTACTAACTGCTTACCACAAACATGATTGAATGAACCAACGTTGAATGATGCCAAGGCCTCCCCTGTTGACTCTGGCTTTGTTCCAAGTTTTCACAGCTCTCTCTGTTTGAGGATTAAACATTCTTGCCCTGTTGATGTTACTCTTAGCCATTCAACTTGCTTTAGCCACTGAAATGCAAGAGGAAGTGGTGTGCCAGTCTCTAGAAGAAACGTCGAGAGCCACTGAGCCGTCCTGCCATCTCTCCTTTCTTTCTGCCATGAGCCTGGCGTATCCTGAGCCTGGTGTGTCTCAAAACAGGGCTACTCTTGCAGTGCCTTCTCCTTCCAGAAACTTCTTCAGCACAGTTGAAGCTAAAACATGAAGGAGTTGTTTGTAAGACACTGAGATTGGAGAGTCCCAATTGGCCGCAACAATACTGCACCCAAGACTGGGGTAGAGCCCAAGGCATGGCTGGGGTCAAAGTTCAGCGTGGGGCTGGAGGACGTTGAAGCGAGGTCCTCCAAGAACAAGTCCATGACCTCCACCTCAACAGCACCACTGAATTAGACAGCCGGGTAGCCTCCTTATGCCTTTGGTAAACTCATGGCATGGCTCGGGGGGGTGGAGTCATAGTCCCTGACCTGGGAGAGGGTAGAAGCCCCCCCTCATAGTCCCTGACCTCTGTGACTCCAATGCCCCCTTTCCAGCTACAGGGTCCTTCAGACACGGAAAATACTTCCAGGCTTCGGAGTCCAGACCGTGCACCTGGCCAGGTGTGCGCAGGAGCTTTCTGAGCACTGGTTTCCTTGGGCTGAGCACAGCACCAGGACGTTCCCGTCAGCTGCTGGAGGGATGGTTAAGAAGTTGGCTTTGCATTTAGTTACCAGCCAACTCTGCACCCTCGGACGTGGGATTTCTCATCTTTCTCTAGTTCAGAGAGGTGAAGTCACTTTCTCAAAACGTTACAGCTAATTTTACAGGAGCAAAGCTGATCTTAGGATCTTCCTGGAGCCGTGGCCATGATGCTCTGCAGCCCACAGAGCTGGTTGTGAGATGGCGTTGGCCAAGGCTATTGTGGTGCATGCTTGACATGGGGCTGCCTCTGTTATTAGTGTGTGTGTGTGGGGGGGGAGTAATATTTAGAAGTACTAACTCTTTTCCCCCAAAGTAACATATAGCTCGTGGCCCTTCCCTAGACCTGGCCACCATCTTTTTGCCTCCAATGGGGTATTTCTACAACCTGCAAGAGAGTTACCAAAGAAACAGCTTTTTGGCTTTTGAACTTCAAAAACCTTTTTAGAGATTTTGCATCTTGGCTTTTGAGCCTCAAAAATCTAAGCCCCAAAGGATTCCCCAATAAAAATCTGGCCATAGTGGGTGCCAGGGGCTGGAGAGAGGAAGGAATAGGGAGTTGTTGCTTAATGGGGACAGGGTGTTTGTTTTGCAAGATGAAAAATTCTGGAGACTGGTTGCACAACCAATATACGTCACACTACTTACTGGACCATACATGTAAAACTGGTGAGGACGGTGGATTTTATATTGTGTATATTGGGCCACAGTTTTTTAAAAGTTAAATCTATTAAGTAAAAAGAAAAAAAATCTGGTCACATATGAAGAAAAGCATTCATCAGACTGAAGCAACTTTTCCTGCAACAAGATAGGTCAATGACTCTCCAAGGTGGAGGGGAAGAGAGGGGTCAAGAGAAGCATCCCTGTATCCTATCTGCACACCCCAGTTTAGATGGCTTCAGGGTGATATGAGAAAAAGAAGGTTCTCTGGAGCCCTAGGGATCCCAGGATATAGCAAACTCTACAGAGGCTCCCCACACCCTGCATAGGGCAGCATCCATTGGGTAGGGATGGCTGCAAAGGGGTGTGCATGCAGTTTCTCTGTACTTAGGGATAATGCAGCAGACCCTGTCAGCACCCCACGCACCCACTGACAATATCCAACAAGTCAACAGCTCCAGAAATGCCTGTGGTTCTCCAACCACTAGAGCATGCCCTGCCTACATACAAGCAGCTCTCAAGTAATGACTGATGGAAGTTGGTGAACACATACCCTAGCTCCCTTGCACTTCAACTGCAAGGAATGTTCTATGTGGACTTCCAGGGGTCCCCAACAAGAATGAGCCCCTGTCGCCCACAGCTGTCACCTGCTCGTCAGTGCTCCCTTTACTGGCTCCTTCCTTTTCCCTTCTCCCTTCTCTCTCCCTTCTGGCTACTTCTTGAGATCACTCCCAGATTAACTCTGCACATCCAAATCTTTGTCTCAAGCTCTGCTTCTGGAGAAGCCCAACCTAAGGCAGTGACCATATAATTTATCACCCAAACCAGGACACCTTGGAAAATGAAAAGGATCGTGATTAATAACTATACCAGGGCAACAGCCAGGACTGTTGCAGGTAAACCAAGAGGTACAGTCATTCCACTCAGCATTTCAGGACAAACAGCCAGATGTCTTGCATGTGCCAAGAAGGATGTGGAAGACACAGAGGAAGACATCTCTGCAGGTGGCAGTGTGATAAATAACCATCAAGTACCAGCTGTCTCCCCAACACCCTAGTGCCAAACCGCCTGGAATTTAAACCTGATCTTGGGGGGGGGGGCGCCTGGGTGGCTCAGTTGGTTAGGCAACTGTCTTCAGCTCAGGTCATGATCCTGGAGTCCCGGGATCGAGTCCCACATCTGGATCCCTGCTCGGCGGGGAGTCTGCTTCTCCCTCTGATCCTCCCCCTCTCATGCTCTCTGTCTCCCATTCTCTCTCTCAGATAAATAAATAAAATCTTAAAAAAAAACCTGATCTTGGGGGAAACTAAGATGAAGTCTCTACCTCTTAGCAGAATTGGAGGGTAGTTAAGTTCTAGCAGAGAAAAAACAAAGGAGAGTTACATTTTTGTGATCTGGAATCTGTGAGTGTAAAATTCTTTCCTGCTTTGTGGGGGTCCCATTTCCTTCTTGGGGTCTTATCTTATATGGCAAAGCAAGATAATAAAGCTGGAAGGCGGGGATTGTGGAGGGGGCTTTTATCTGTGCCCCCATGTCCTTTCCCACCCTTTCCCGTCCAGGTCCTCCTGAATGACAGCAGTCATTCCTTTCATCATTTTATTAAAAGCTGTTGCCTTGAGCCCCACCTTCTTGAGGGGACCCAAGAGAAAATCAGTGTGTTATAAATTAACCATGGCAGGGCATCATCCCAGGAGCCCTGCCAGCTGGACGCTGGCCCTCCACAGTCCATCCTGGATTCTCAGCCCGCTGGGACCTGTCACAGCCCGCCTGACCCTGCTGCCGCTCATCCTGGGCTCAGAGCCTGGAGTTTCTCATCTCTCGGCCAGTGTGCCAAAGCTCAGCAGTATTCAGAATAATCCTCCTCCACATAGTTGGAGGGGAACCAGCCAACCTGGAAAGAGAAGAGGAAGGGGTCAGAACATTCCCCACAGTTCCTCAACACACCAGGCAGATGCCCTCACACCTCAGGGCCTTTGCACCTGCCACACCTTCTACCCCAGAAAGTACATCCCCCAGAGGTACATGTGGCTGACAACCCCCCCACCTTCCAGCGTTCTCTATCACATGTCGCCTTATTAGTGAGACCTTTCTGACCACCCTATTTAAAATTGCAAACCCCACCCACCCCAACACTCCTTATCCCTGCTTAATTTTTCTCCATAGCACTTGTCAGCATCTTATTGAGTATATGTTACTTATTTATGGGCTTGTTGTCTGTCCCCACACCCCCACTATAACATGAGCTCCTCAAGGGCAAGGATTGCTGTCTCTTTTATTCATTAGATTCCCAAGAGTCTAGAAGAGTTCCTGGCACATGGGAGATGCTTAATAAATATTTCTTAAAAGGATGGATGGATGGATGGATGGATGGATGGATGGATGGATGGATGGATGAATTCATTATAGCTGAGATTTCCCAAAGGCTCCCTCAAACCCCAACTGTCCTCCACTGCACACTGAACTTACCCTCCACAATTCTTAACAAAACTGTTCATCTAAGCAATTATCTGGGCTGTTTTTTCACATGTTTCCCCCAGTTGAATGTAAGCTCCTGACCAATGTCCTTACCTTCATTCAACAAATATTTTTGAGAAACCATTACAAGGGAGGCAGTATTCTAGAGACTAGGAATTCATTCATGGATAAAATAAAGAAGACTCTCTGTCTTCCTGAGACAAAAATAAGAACCAGGTAGAAACAAATGTTTTGAGGAACCTTGCGGTCCCTCCTGACAGACAGTCCGAATGCAGGCAGACAAAAAAGCACAAAAGGCAAAAATGGTCATTTCCAGTTATATACCTCTTCATGCATTCAGTATTTATTGAGCACCTATTAGTGCCAGTCACTGGAGACACGGCGCAGTGAACAAGATAGACAAAAACCCCTCCCTTCATGTCCCCCAAACATGCTAATCACTCTCTCACCTCAGGGCCTTTGCACATGCTGGTGCCTCTGCCTGGAATACTTTCCTCCACCCCCTCTATGACCTTCTTGCCTGGCTAACTACTCACCCCTCGGTGATCACCTTGGCCTCCCAGAAGTCCTACTGACCTGCTCCTGCCCTGCCCTGTGATTCCCCATCTCAACCCTGACCATTCAATGTTGTACCTGCTTGGTTACACGTCTATCATCTTCACTAGACTATGAGTTTCATGAGGGCAGTAACTGTACCACACTAATTTTTGTCTCCTCAGCACCCAGCAGAGTGCCTGGCACATAGTAGGTGCTCAGTAAATAAATGCAAGTTATATAAATGAATGAAATCTCTATCTCCTTTCCTCCCCTCTGACCAGGGAATACCCACAAGGGCCACTCCCCACCTGCTCCATTCCACAATTCCAGGCTATAGCGCTATAGTCAGGTCACCCCATGCCCTTTCCCCAGGCCGCCAAGCTTTACCCCAACTCACCCGGCCATAGATCTCCCCTCGCCACCAGCCTTGTTGCCCCTTTTTGTTAAGGATCTTGATGATGTCACCCTCCTTGAGGGACAGCTCTGATCGGTCCCGGGCGCAGAAGTCATAGCGCGCTTTGGCTGTGCCAAAATACTTGGTGCTCCCTGCTGTGTAGGGGAGAGCTGGGATGAGTAAAGGTCCTGAAGCAGACACCTGCCCACCATCTGGGGACAGCTGGGGGGAGGCAATGCTCTCAGGAGAGTAACACCAGGACAAAGCGTCCCTCAATACTTCTTCATGCAGAGTATTGGGTGCCCCGTGCTCTGAGGGGACACAACTGTTCTTTTGAAATCATCATTCTAGCCCAACCAGTATCCAAGTTTAGAAAATAATGCCATTTATGAATTTCTTTAAATGGTTTCTATATATTTATGGTGAAAGAAATGGAAGATATGGAGAAATTCATTCTAGGCTGTTAATATTAATTATCCTAAAGAGGACCAGGGTCAAAAAAGAAAGGGAATAAAAAAAAGAAATACAAGGGGGAAAGAAACAAAATTTTTCATAGTAAAATATTAAGCAACATTGTAGAATGGAAAATTAATTTGTAGTATTTCTCCAAGTATGCTAAGATCCATATATACACCAGGGCAAATAAGTAATGTTCAGACAGACACATTTATCCCACTGGGTGATGAGGATCCTTTGATGAGGATTGGAGTCCTGGTGTTATGTTGGTGTTGTTTTTTTTTCAAAAATGTAACATTTTTTTTTATTTTTTTTAAAGATTTTATTTATTTATTTGTCAGAGAGAGACAGCGAGAGAGGGAACACAAGCAGGGGGAGTGGGAAAGGGAGAAGCAGGCTTCTCGCGGAGCAGGGAGCCCGATGCGGGGCTCGATCCCAGGACACTGGGATAATGACCTGAGCCGAAGGCAGACGCTTAATGACTGAGCCACCCAGGTGCCCCCAAAAATGTAACATTTTAATAATAATTAATTTTTTAAATCTCTCTTTAAAAATTTTTTGGATATATAAGAATCCAGAAACTATACCACCCATGTGACTTTTCTGAAAAACATACTTCAGGATGCACCCTAGCAAAATGAAATTTGAATCAGAATAAGGAATTTTAAAAATAAAGGAAAATATAGAAAACAAGAAATATAGATGGAGTCTGAGTAATTCTTGATACTGTATTTGAGAAGTTAAACGCAACTGTTAAGAAAGAATCCCTAAAACATATGTTGTAATTATTTTAATTCATAGCAAACTGTATCCAACATTCCAGATAACGTCCATGAACCTACGCAGGAGAGATGCAAAGGAAAAGAGAAGAGTGCACTAAAGGTCTTGCCTTTTTGTGAGAGAATGTTATAGATACTAAATAATCCTTGATATTGATACAAAAATACAGGCTTAAAAGGTGCAGGTGAGAACCCTTCTGGTACCTAGTGTCCTCATCTTCCCAAATACAAAAGTAAGCTCTGTCCCATCTTCCACCCAAGCAAATGAACATGCAAACCACCCAAGAGCAAAGGGACAGACTATCGTGAGAAGGAGCTCCCATTGTTTACCAGACATGACCTCTGTATGCCCACTGGAATGTCCATAGCATCCCCAAACTTGCCCTCTACAATAGGAAGGAGCTGGGGCACAGGTCCCCAGCCTGAGACCTCTACCTGGGGGTTTGCTGATGGCTCTCTTCTCAGGCTCCTTGAAGGGGAACTGCAGGGTGGTGTCCAGTGACTTGAAGCAGTCCTTTAGAGAATTCTGCTGGTAAAACTCCACCAGCTCCTGGAAGGACAGGGGGGCAGATGCTATCCCTTCTGGCCTCCCTGGTGACTCCTTGACTGCTCCCCATGATGGGGAGCTCATTCCCTTCCTGGGCAACCAGGACCATTTTTTTGGGAAGAGATCACATTGCCTAAAGCCAGTTCTCTTAATAACCAAGTTACTTCATAATAAATTCACCGAATAATCAACTTGCCTGATAACCAGCTCACCAAAATCAACCCCCACTGTGGGTGTCAAGAGACTTATTTTTATAATTAATTACTATAATAATAATAATAAATTCTGCTTATTCAGCACCTACTATGTGCTGGTCAGTGTGCAATCACACAGCATCAAAATCTCCTAATAATCATGAAAGGTGAATACATTCATAATTCTCCCATTTTATAAATGGAGAAACCAGGTCACAGAGAGGCCAAGTTCCTCATCCAGGGTCCCACATCTGGAAAGGGGCAGATCGGGAATACAGTCCCCCGGGGGAGGGGCAGTAGAGTGTAGTAGCTAAGACAAGACAAAATGTCTCATGGTTTAGCGTTCTAGACTCCAAAAATGCCAGTATCATGAAAGACCAAAAGAAAAAAAAAGATTTTAAAAAGGCTGGCAATCTATTACAAATGAAAAGAGACTAAGGAGATAAAAACTAAATGCAATGTGTGATCCTTGATTATATCCTACATGAAAAAAGAGCTATAAAAGGTATACTTTTGGGGGCAATCAGGAGTTTGGAAAATAGACTGTATATTACGTAATAATTTTGCATCAATGCTCAATTTCCTGAACGTAATAATGATACTGTAGTGAGGTACAAGAATGTCTTGGCTCTTTGGATATTCATGCTAAAGTATTTTTGGGTGAACGGTCTAGATGCCTGCAACTTATTCTTACATAGGGCAAAATAAATGTGTGTCAGGGGGGAGGGATTGACAGGGCACAAAAGAAGCAGAACAGTAACAATTAGTAAGTGATAGATTCACAGATGTTCATTTCACTATTCCAGTAACTTTTTGGAAATTTTTCAGAAATAAAAAAATGAGGGGAAAATTTTTCAGAATCAAGTTTGGTGGACAAAAAAATTGTGGAATAAATTAACAGTCCCTAACCTTTCAGGGAGTCAAGGATCTGTTTGAGAATCAAGGGAAATCTGAGACACTCACCTCCTAATACATGCAGCTATGTGCAAAATTCTGTATCTTTTTCCAGAGGACTCAAAGCTCCTCAAGGATCCAAGGACCACAGGTAAAATCCATGTGCCTTAGACCAATGGGATTTAAAATGTCTAAAAGTTTTCCCAAAACTACAGGGCACCAAACAGAAGCAGAAACACTTGAAAGGCGTTTGAATTCGCAGTGAAAAGACCATTGAACAGATGAGGCAAAGCTAAGCCTTGCTGTCTGACAGAAACAGCTCTGCTCTTCTGTGATACTAAAAAAGGACAGAACATCAGTTTCATCTGTGTGTGAAATAGAACCTCCCACAGTGAGTCCAGGGGATTCGCTGGAGTCCTATCCAGAGCATGTCTGGCACTCAGTAAGTGCTTAGTAAATGCTCACTGCTGTTATTCATCATCATCATCATCACCATCATCATCATCATCATCATCAGCCATTAGGGGAATGAGTTTAAAGCCCGTTGCTCCATAGTGCTCTTGGAGGGACTGCTCTGGGTGTGGGAAAGGGGGTGTCCCAAGATGGAGCTTCAGGGAGGGCTAGATTCTCCTAGATTCTGGGAGGCTGGGGTTGAGGTAGATTGGCCCTTACCGTAAGGCCCCGGAAAGCCTTCTTCTCTGTAATCCGGTACAGTCCTTCCGCTGTCATGATTTTAATATGCTTGACCTCAACATTATACCTGGAAGAAGTGAGAGAGGGGCCCAGATGGTCACAGAGCCCTGAGGCTGGGGACCCAAGCTCGTCCCCTGCCAAGTCTCAGCCCCCGGGCTACACAACCCCACACCCTGATTCAGAGGGTTGTTGAGAAGTCACAAAGGTCTTGCAAAGAAAGCCATGGTCTAGAATAGAGAGGATAAGATCTGTGCTTCCCCCAAGATGGAGGACCTAGGATTTACAGGATGGGAAAAGGGACCCATTTCCACTAACATGGCGAGCCACAGACTAGTAAGGACATGGAAGAGATATTCACTTCTGTCAACATGGAAAACTAGATAACTGGCGCCCCCCCCCCCAAAAAAATCTGACTACAGAAAACAAGAAAGGATGAGAACAAAAAATGCTGAGCTCTCAAAAAAGTAAAGGGAAATCCCCAGAGGCCAAAATTGAGGTTGAAACTAAAACTGAGCTCACTGAGTGAACCCTACGGGGTTTGCTGATCTTGCTAACCAAGTAGCTTATGCCTTGATGATCCCATAGAAACATGGGATGAGCTACTGGGCCCATGGAGGTGGAGGGTTAGCACTCAGACCCACCCACACCCCATAAGCCTGGACTATCAAATGCTACATCCTCTAGAAAAACCACCCGTCGCACAGGGGACCATAAGAAAGCGTATCTGTCTCAGACCCCAAACAGAAAAGTCACCCTTGAGAATTCAGAACCTCACGCCTGCTCTCATGTAGGTTTGGGGTTTGAACTTAAACCACCTGCACAGTCTGGGGAAACTAAGGAATTAACCTAAAATGTTGAACTTGGAAAAAAAAAAAAAACCCGTTGGTGATCAACAGAAGCAAATGCAAAATCTCTGGAGACCCAAGCAGCACAAGATCCCCAGCGGGAAAGCCCCACTGGACATCACAAGACAAAATTATAAAACCGACCAGGAAACGAGTCACCGTGAGTGAGAAGCTGCACACAACAGACAGGCATGAGCAAAGAGGTCCGCGAGCGTTGGTCCACGTGGGATTTCTGCCTCTTGCTAGGATGTGCTAAATGCCTTTTGGAGCCTGCCTGGGAAGCATATCTCTTTCTTGTGGGCTGTCCGTCAAGTAAAAGGAGTGAGATGGCTATTGTAACTGTACATTCCCTTCCTCCCAGGCTCCTGCTGCGCCCAGGTCACAGGGGGTCAGGGACAGAGGAGTTACTTAATGCTGATGGCAAATTCTGCTGTGTCCTTCACCCTCTGCCGCACCAAGAACGTCCCATCCGAGCGGTTGGTGAGGATACTTTCTGCCCCCGCACGCTCCATGGGGCCGGCGTACCTGTCAAGATACACCAAGGAGAGAGGTCCACACCACCCCCATGCCTGTGATTTTTAAGTTGGTGACAGTCCCAGGGCAGGCTGCTGCTCCAAGATGGGCCACTTTGGCATGAAGACCATTTTGAGTTAAAAAGCGATCAAAACCCGGGACGCCTGGGTGGCTCCTTCGGTGAAGCATCTGCCTTAGGCTCAGGTCACAAGTCCCGCATGGGGCTCCTTGCTCAGCGGGGAGCCTGCTTCTCCCTCTCCCTCTGCCTGCAGGTCCCCCTGCTCATGCTCTCTCTTTCTCTCTCTACATCTCTGACAAATAAATAAAATCTAAAAAATAAGAAAAAAGCAATCAAAACCCAACAGATTCAGGAAAAACTCTACCTCCCCCACAGCTGCCTAAACAGAATGCTGACAGAGGACCTGCTCCGGGAAGATAGCAACCATCACCCTAGATACCTATATTAGGCTATGAACGAGGTGCGGTGGGCTGGGAGGAACTTAGCGAGGCCCGTTTGATCAAATCCTCTGTGCCCCAAAGTTTCCCAGGGGCCCAGCAAACATTTGTGTACCAGACATTTCCTCCTCTTCATCTTCCTGTGAAGTGCATTCCTTCCCTTTGACATCCCACACCCTTGCCCCCTTCTCCTTAATTTGGAATGACATATATGCCTCCTTTTGCCTGACCGTCTTGGGATTTCCATTTCTCTGTGGATTCCCTTTACATACAAAATTAAATTTGATTTTTCTCCTATTAATCTGTCTCGTGGCAATTTGAGTTTTAGTCCTGCTAGAAGGACCTTGAAGGAGACAGGAATTCTTGAGCCCTGACATGGCCTTTTATAATAAACTTGTAATCTAAAGAAATGGTTTTCCTGAGTTCTAGGAGTTTGTGCCTACTGCATTATCCAAACCAGGGCAGTGGTTGTGGGAGCCTACAATTTACAGCAGGTCGGTCAGAAGTCCTGGAAGGCTGGACTTGAGATTAGCACCTGAGGTGTGGGCAGTCTGATGTGAACCAGCTCTTAACCTGTGAGGTCTGATGCCATCTCCAGGTGGGTAGTGTCAGAAATGAACTCAATTATAGGACACCCAGCTGAGAGGGAAGAATTACAGAATTGTTTGGGTGTGGGGAAAAAACCCACAATTTTGGTCAAGAGTGTGAGTGTAAAAAAGCATGTTTTTTTCCCCTTTAATCTGGAATTTGACATTGCTTGGATGGGCATTTACTGAGTCCCCACAGTTCGCCCGTCTCCACGGTCACCAGGACAGAAACTGGGTGAGGAGAGTGAGACACCAGCCCCAGGTACAAACTGTGAAGAGGGAGCAAAACACTCCACCATCAAGATACGTGATAGCAAATGAAGTAAGGAGTATTTTAATGCAATACTTTTAAAAACCAAAACGACTGCCAAAGAGCCATAAAAGAAGCGAGGCGCCCACACGCACCGCCCCGTGGACGGACCCTGAGCCCACGACACTCAGAGAGGGCACCAGACACAGAAGGCCACACTGTGTGTGGTTCCATGTGCGTGAATTGTCCACAACAGGCTCATCCACGGACGGGAAGGGGTTAGAGGTGGGTGCCAGGGGCTGGGGGGGCTGGGGGTGACCGCTAATGGGGGCGGGCTTTCCTTTGGGGGGATGGAATGTTCTGGAGTTTTACTGGTGATGGCCACGCAACCTTGAGAATGTACTAAATGCCACTGGATATAAATATATTTATGCTGGGGCGCCTGGGTGGCTCAGTTGGTTAAGCGACTGCCTTCGGCTCAGGTCATGATCCTGGAGTCCCTGGATCGAGTCCCGCATCGGGCTCCCTGCTCGGCGGGGAGTCTGCTTCTCCCTCTGACCCTCCCCCCTCTCATGTGCTTGCTCTCTCTCATTCTCTCAAATAAATAAATAAAATCTTTAAAAAAAATATATATATATATATATATTTATGCTGGACATAAATATGTAACATAAATAATATATATTAACTATAGAAAATCACAATTATGGATGATATAAATACAAACATGAATGTATTGTGCTATAAATGTAAATACATAACATATATATGCTAATTATAGATCATATGTAATTATAGACGATAGATAAAGGTGAACATGAATGTATTTATGCTGCAAATGTAAATATGTAACATAAATAACATATTTTAATTTGAGGTAAAATATAACTATGATATATACATGTAAACATGTAATAGAAATACAGGTATGAATATAAATGCCACTTTAAACAGTTAATTGTATGTTATGTGGATTTCAACTCAGTTTTTAAAAATTAATGCAAAAAAAATCCAAGGTGAACAAAACGTCAAGGCTTTAAATAAAGGCAAGACCTGACTCCGTACCTGGGGGCTCACCACATCACCTCTTTCTACCCCCAGCCCTGTCAGATCCTGTCTTTATTTACAGTTCTGATGTTTTGCTTATCATGGATTTTGCCTTGCTTTTTTTTTTTAATTAAGTAAGTTCTATGCCCAACGAGGGACTTAAACCCCCCCACCGCAAGATCAAGAGTTGCATGCTTCCCAACTGAGCCAGCGGGGCGCCCCCGTTTGCCTCGCTTTTGATTATTTTAACTGCTGCCTTGAAATAGCATGGACCTTGATCCCTGGGGTTTTGGCGCCCCCTTAAATCTTGCACCCGAAATGAGTCACCCAGTTCCAGGCGTGATGACCCCATCCCCGCAGGGGAGGGTGGAGATGGGGTCTGAAACCTGGCTCTGTGACCTCAGGAACTGATTTTGCCACTCAGAGCCCTGATTTCCTCTTCTGCAAAGAGGAAGTTAAAAATGCCCCCCAGACATACAGAGCGACGTTTCTGACCACTGGCAGTAACGCAGCCGATGCCCCTCGTCCGCTCAGGAAATGCGAGCGTTATTATGCCCCTTGTGTTACTTTGACTCTCGAGGGGCAGCAAGGTCTGGCTCTGGAGTCTGGAGTCGGGGCAGATGGGTTCCATCCTGTCTCCATCACTTCCTCACTGCGTGACACTGAACAAATCACTTCCCCCCTCTAAGCCTTGGTTTCCTCCTTCTTTTGCCGAAAGGGAGGAAGAAAAGCAAAGGGTTTTTACGAGAATTCAAAGTGCTCGTTAAAGTGCTGACACAACACTCATTAAAAACAATCCCACGTGAGGGCGCCTGGGTGGCTCAGATGGTTAAGCATCTGCCTTCGGCTCAGGTCATGATCTCAGGGTTCTGGGATCGAGTCCCGCATCGGGTTCCCTGCTCAGTGCAGAGCCTGCTTCTCCCTCTCCCTCTGCCACTCCCTCTGCTTGTGCTCTTCTGTCTATCTCTCTGTCAAATAAATAAATAAAATCTTTGGGGCGCCTGGGTGGCTCAGTTGGTTAAGCGACTGCCTTCGGCTCAGGTCATGATCCTGGAGTCCCAGGATCGAGTCCCGCATCGGGCTCCCTGCTCGGCCGGGAGTCTGCTTCTCCCTCTGACCCTCCTCCCTCTCATGCTCTCTGTCTCTCATTCTCTCTGTCTCAAATAAAAAAATAAATAAAAAAATCTTTAAAAAAAAAAAAATAAATAAATAAATAAATAAATAAAATCTTTAAAAAAAAAAAGAGACAAAAAAACAATCCCACGTGATATCATCTAAGATGCTGGCGACTATAAAAGGCACTGTTCTTTCACGGGCCATTATGAAATGAAAACTCCTACCCATAAAATTAGGCAGAAGACTGATCTTCCATTGACTGTAAGAGCCATTCCAATGTCAGAGATGTTAAAACATGAAAAAAAATGTGCATTTTAGAATTGATGAAATGTAGTCCTAATAAGATGGCCACAATAATAACAGGTCTAATCTAATCACAGATAATAAAGGGCTTACTGTGTGCCAGGCACAGGACTAAGAACTTTACAGGTAACAGCTCATTAACGCCTTATAAAAAACCCTATAAATGGGTTTTTAAAAAATCCCAAAATAATTGTTGGTATTAATCTATTTTCCAGAAAGGAGAGCTGAAGCCCAGAGAGGTTGAGTTACCGGCACAAGGTCACACAGCTGGGAAATGTGGGACTCAGCATTTGAACCCAGGTCAGTGGGCTCCAGAAGCAACACTGTAAACCTCTACCCTTCACTGTTCTACCTGCAATAGGTGTTCAAAAGCAGGAGGGAGGGGCTGCCGTTACCATCCCCACCATCATTTTCCTTCCAGGGAGACCCTAATCTCCCAGAGTCAGGGACTCTCTTTCGCTTGCTCGCTCTTCAGCAGCCCCGGGTACAGGGCTCAATCCAGCAGTCAATACCCAGAGTTTAAAAAATAAATAAGCAGTTAGTTTGGAGGCCCCTCCACGCCCAACCTGGGAACCCACCCCAGAGGGCCTCAAGCTGAAAATAAGAAAGGTAGTTCTACTCACCAGAGATGAACGGACAGGTCCTGAGGGGGACCCTGGGGACACAGACAGAGACTGGGACTTAGGATCAAGAACCCAGGTTGGCAGGGCACTCCATTCATTTGTTATCATCTACTATCATTCATTCCACCATCATTTACTGAGCGCCAAGCACCGTGCTGTTCACCAAGAGACCCGTCCACTTCCAACAGGGGCTGTCCAGGCACCTGTTTTAGCATGACCCTCAAGCCAAGAATGGATTTTATGTTTTTAAATAGTTGACAAAAATTAAAGGAAGAATAATATTGCCTGGCATGTGAAGATGGGATGAAATTCACATGCCAAGGTCCACAAATCAAGTTTTTATTGGAACATAGTCATGCCCTCTCGTTTACACACTGAGGCTGCTTTTGCACTTCTCTGGCAGAGGTAAGAGGTCACAAAGAGAGCCTCTGACCTGCAAAGATGAAAATCTGTATTATATATTTACAGAAAGCCCAACCCATGGTCTGAATAAATGCAAAGGTGCTCGCTTCCACCACTTTAGGATGGTTACTGTAAAAATAAACAAAACAAAACAAAAAAACAGAAGATAGCAAGTGTTGGCAAGGTTATAGGGAGATTGGAAATCTTATAGCAGAAATGTAAAATGATACAGCTGCTAAGGAAAACAGATGACAGTTTCTCAACAACTAAAAATAGAATTACCATATGACCCAGTGACTCCTCTTCTGGGTATCTACACAAGGGAATTAAAAACAGGAATTCAAAGAGATAGTTATACATCCATGTTCATAGCAACATTATCTATGATAGCCAAAAGGTGTGTGCCCATCAAGAGATGAACAGGTAAACAAAGTGTGGTATGTCCACACAATGGAATATTATTCAGCCTTGAAGAAGAAGGCCATTCTGACACCTGCTACAACATGGATGAACCCTGAAAACATTAGGCTCAGTGCAAAAGCCATTCTCAAAAGGACCAACACAATTTACCTGAGGTACCTAGAGGAGTCAAAGTCATAGAGACAGAAAGTAGATGGTGGGAGCCAGGGGCTGGGGAAAAGGGAGGGGCGTTACTCTTTCATGGGGACAGAGTCTCAGCTTTGCAAGATGAAAAGAGTTCTGGCAAAGGATGGTGGGAACGGTTGTACAACAGTGTGAATGTACCTAATGCCACCAAGCTGTACACTCAAAAATGGTTAAAATGGTAAATTTTATGTTATGTGTGTTTTACCATAATTTAAAAATACTAACAATAAAAAGAATGAGGAATAATCTATCTAGTTCCAAAACATCACCCCAAAAGAAAACCCATACACATCACCCATTAAACATCAGTCCCTAGTCCCCCCCCAGCTCCAAAATCTGGGAACCACCAATTTGCTTTCTCTCCCTGTGGATTTACCTATTTTAGATGTTTCACGTAAATGAAATGATTGCAAA